AACATTGCTTGTTCCTTCGCACCTTGAACCTAGGTAACAGTTCCTAATCGATTGTCTGCAAGCAGCTTCCTCATGGCAACATCTAACAGCATGACGCGTGCCACACATTTCGTTGTTAACTTGTAAAGGTTCGACTTTCCAATTATTGGCCTGAAGTTGCTGCCTTCTCTTGAGATACCTTTTGGAATCAGGTCGGTAGTACCTTTATAAAACCACGGATCCTGTTCCTCCCCATCCAGGCAAATTCTTCTTACTATTTTTACCAGGTCTAACGCAAGGAGGTGGACTTAATAAAGAAGTTATAAATTCCATCACGCCCTGCCGCTTTCCAATTGGGCAAATAGGAGACTATCTTCCTAAATTGGGCTTCAGAGGTAAAAGTATGATGCACCTCATCACCTGGAACGAAATCTTCCAGATATTTGTTGTGTTGGATATCATCATACTTCGCCATCTGGAGTTCCACATCGTACCCTAAAAATCCCTGATTTCCTCAATCCTTACATTGCTGCTTACGGGCTGTTCTTCGATCAGACTTCTATAAAACCGTCTTCTGAACAGCTCAAATCCGGCGTTTTGTATTTTGAATGCACAACGGGTCTTGTAACTTTTTGTTTTACTTTCGTAAACTCTCACATGGGCTGTCAATATACTTAATGCTTCATGGCAGTCACGCTTGAGAGCGAGAATGAGATTCATCTCCCTCATACACTTCTTGGTCTCTTTTAAGTCTTTACCTCCCAGTCTTTCACCTTCCAAAGTCCGTTCTACCTGGGATTTGTGGAAATTCAACAAGCTTATCCTGTTTTCTATGCTTGCTTTCCACACCGATGGCTTCTCTCGCCTCGTCATGTCTTCTTAACATTGTTGTGCTGCTTAGAGCTGCCTTGCAATATCATTCATTGACTTGTAGGGATTCTGTGTAGCATATTCACCCGCCGCTTGGATTACTGCTTTAAGTATGAGCGGCTCTCCTATGTTATTTTTCGCGTTCACTTTGTCTGGTTTATGTTACGTCCCTGTGCTTCTTGCATCAGCTCTAGATATTTTTCCTTCACATCCGATAAACCTTAGACTAGTGTAGCGTATTTTCCTCGAAGTTTGTGAACTGATACGTTTCGTAGACTCCTCCAAGATCTTTCTGTGAGCACGGACGACCTGCAGTACTGGTGATCACAGAATTCGCTAGCTC